CTCTATCACTCACTCTCTTTTGTATGCACCCTTTTTCTATTTCACACCCACTTCTCCCTTCCATGTTCTCTTTTTCTCTCTCTCTTTCTTTTTTTTTTTCTCTCTCTCCTCTCTCAGTCCTCTTTCTCTCTCTCTCTCTGTCTTCTTTCTCTTTCTCTCACTCTGTCCTCTTTCTCTCTCTCTGTCCTCTTTCTCTCTCTCTCTCTCTGTCCTCTTTCTCTCTCTCTGTCCTCTTTCTCTTTCTCTCTCTTTGTCCTCTTTCTCTTTCTCTCTCTCTGTCCTCTTTCTCTTTCTCTCTCTCTGTCCTCTTTCTCTTTCTCTCTCTCTGTCCTCTTTCTCTTTCTCTCTCTCTGTCCTCTATCTCTTTCTCTCTCTCTGTCCAATTTCTCTCTCTCTGTCCTCTTTCTCTCTCTCTCTCCTCTCTCTCTATCCTCTTATTTTCTCTCTCCCCCTCTCTCTCTCTCTCTCTCTCTCTCTCTCTCTCTCTCTCTCTCTCTCTCTCTCTCTCTCTCTCTCTCTCTCTCTCTCTCTCTCTCTCTCTCTCTCTCACTCTCACCTTTCCACATCCCCATTTTCTCTCTTTCTTCTCTCACTTCTCTACTTTTTCTCACTTCCTTCTATCTCTCTTATTTTTGTTTTCTCTCTGTCCCTTTTATTTCCTCTAAGCACTCTACCTAGAATGTATATCCTTTCAAGTTAATGCAATAAATTGCAGCACTCTATTTGGCACAATCATATCTCTGCATGATGAAAACTATGTATTTGATCCAATGTTTTCTGTTGACATGCATTCCTCTCCCAGCAGTGTGCCCCTTCCTAGGTCTTTGAAGATTAGCCCAGCAATGGGTAAGGTCTCCTCGTCCCACCTAGTATTACTCATGCCACCATGCACTCAAGAGCATGCATCAACCCAGTGCGTCATAACTGTAGAAAACCCAACCCATTTCTTGTACCAAAACAGGCAAAGTATCTTAATCTCTCATTCTCTTACATTCGCACTCTCACTAACTCACTCACTTTCTCTCGCTCTCTTAGTGTACAAAACCTGTAAAGCAACAGGCACTTTGGAGCATTCATAATCAGCAAAGTTGGAAAAATCAGTTATATATACCTTATATATATTTGGGACATATAACAGCAATCATGCAAAACATTTATTCATAGCACTGAACGTAAAGATCAGCATGGCATGCAACTTTTCTCATGACATTCACTGCGACTTACTCCCCATCCTGTTTGCCATGCGAGGGAGACAAACATGTGGGGGCACTCCAGAGATAGAGATTGACCTCATGCGATCCTCCACTGGATGCGCCCCTGTTTCCAGCAAGCTCACTGAGCGCAGTGCTTCACCATGAGTATCTATTGTCAATCAATGAGGGTCATAGCATTAAAACCTGTGTTTTGAAATTTGCAAGATGAAAACAACTTGTATGTGATTTTCTCTTAACATAAGTGTGCTTTTTTTTGTAAACTTGAAATATATCTATTTATTTGGGTTTGGATAATGAGAGACCTTGTCAGTCATAAAAGGTCTTAGTCAACTTCATAACCACTCAGTGATGGGTATCAGAAATCCTTTGGTATCATAAACAGCTGCTGGGCACGGGAGTCCACTACATTTAGCGGAACTTCCTGCTCAACGCACTCACACTTATAGCATACCCTGCAGACCACATGGTTTGTTATGACAGCCATACATGTGACCTGTCAGTAAGGGGTTAAGAAGTAATAAATAAAGAATACAATTAACTCATAAGGCTGCTAAATAATTCCCAAGGCTTTTCCTACAGTAAAATTATTATTATCTATGAAGAATATCTAAGCAAGATTCATCTCATAATGTAAAAAGAGAGCACATTTAATAAAATGGATGAACACACCCAAAGTGCTTGCTAAAAATAATAAATGAAGCTCCAACTGCATATGATGGTGTAAGTAAGAATGATTCATTACCCAACATAGGTATTTTAACTCATGTGCTTCCGTTAAATCTCTATCAGAATATGACGATGTTAACTCTGAACTTTAAAGTTACTCATGCTTATTTGTATCATTTCTTCTGCTTTTGTCACCAAGACCTCAATTTAATATACTTCACTTCAGGAGAACAGAAATCTGATATGCAAACTACCAACATATTAACCCGTATCTGCTGGGCCCTGCTGCCATAACAAACCGAGTGGAAAGTTCTGCTAGTTCTGTAGCGGACTCTGGTCCAAATGGCAGGACAGTTACCAGAGGCATTCGGAGTCAGTGACACCGAGAGATTTCTGATAACATCACTAACAGGTTCATTTTGAGACAATCTACCAGTCTGCACAAGGATCATCTTTACTGACTGCTCTATCATACACTACAGAATATCACATTTGTGGTGATGAAAAAAGAGAAAGGGAGGAGGAGAAGGTGGTAGAAGAAGTGGAAGAAGAGGAAGAAAAGGAAGAAGTAGAAGAAGAAGAAGAGCAGGTGGAAGAAGAGGAAGTGGACAAGGAGGGGGGGGGAGGAGGAGGAGGAGGAGTTAGAAGGAGGTAGGAGGAAGGAGATTGGAGTAGGAGGATGTGGGAGGAGGAGGAGGAGGAGATAGAAGGTAGGAGGAAAAGGATGTAGGCAGAGGTAGAAGGAGGAAGGAGGAAGGAAGTAGGAAGAGGAAGGGGAGGAGGAAGGAGGAAGAAGGAGGAAGAAGGAGGAAGAAGGAGGAAGAAGGAGGAAGAGGAGGAGGAGGAAGGAGGAGGTAAGAGGAGGAGGAGGAGAGTAGAAGTGGAGTGGGAGAACAAAGGAGAAGGGGAAAGGCAAAAGGGAAGAGGGAAGGCAGCTGAGAGAAGAGAGACAGGGAGGGGAGGGGAAGGAAACTGAGGAAGGAGAGACTGATTAGAATAAGAAGAAAATAGAAATGACTAAAATAGATAAGAACAAAAAAAGAACCACCAAAGGAAGACAATGAAGCAGATATGGCAGATGAAAAATGAAATGCACAAAACCACCAACTAGTTAAAGAATCTGATAAAAGCAAGAATATGCATTCAAAGATCTTGAAGTTTTATTCAATGAGCTTTATCTATCAAGGGAGAAAAAGGTTTTATTACAATGAAAAAAATGGAAGACTCCCCTTGCTTTTGTGTACATAAATGCTATATCATGGAAACAAAAATCAATTAAATAAATAAATTTTATAAGTTGGAAGTAATTACAAGGTCAATAAAACTGTTGATGATGATGATGACAAGAAGAAGAAGAAGAAGAAGAATGATAATCATTATTATCATTATAACGTTGATAATATCTATGAAGATTATTATGATGATGATGATAACAATAATGAAAATATTAATAATAATAATAATAATGATGATGATAATAAAATCAATACAAACAACTCTGTAATTGAAGTAAATGTCCTCTGAAATTATAAAATAGCTATTGAGACAGATGTAAATTTCCTGAAAATGAAAATGGTTAATAAACATTTTCTTTAATATACCAGACAGATGAATGTCCAATCTATATAAAAAAGAGGGATGGAAAAGGGATAATTTAAAGATTTATTTTCCAACAACATCCACTATCCATTATATTTCTTACCTATGATCCATGATCCACAAAAAAAAAGGAAGCGAGAAGACAAAAAGATGAAGAAGAAAAAAAAAGAGAGAAAGAAAGAAAGGACGAAAAAAAAAAAGAACAAGAAGTAAGAGACAGTAAAACAAAAAAGAGAGAGAGAGAGAGAGAGAGAGAGAGAGAGAGAGAGAGAGAGAGAGAGAGAGAGAGAGAGAGAGAGAGAGAGAGAGAGAGAGAGAAAGAAATAGGAAACTTAAAGTCCATTCACCTTTCTTCGGAGTTGTCGGTTCCGAAGCGGGCGTCCCATGCATCTGCGGAGCCTGAGTAGGCATGATAGGAGCTGTCAGGAGTCGGTACTCTGTGTTCACGTCCCAAAGTGCGTGGCAAATCGAGTCCACCAAGTACCTGCGTATTTCATCAAGGTCCACTCGCCCCGATTCCCAGACTTTGAACTGGAGCATCGCCATCGGCCCTGGACAATAAAATCATTACAGAATAAGAGCAAGGTTCTTCCCATAAGCAATACTATAAAAGGTGTCCTCCTATCTATTCCTCATTTCAAAACATAAAGAAAGCTACATATTTTTCCAGTTCATTTCTCATATAATTTCATGTTAAGGTGGACACAATATTCACTTCTTTGCACCTCCTTACCTGGACTCTTAGTTGGACTGGGTTGATATTCTTGGGTCTGAGTTAAAACTTCAAAATCATGTTTTGAAAAGATTTCTTGATAGGCATCTGGGGAAGGTCTCGGACAGCTGGAAGGCACGAATATCATTACATATGTATATATAAAAATCTACTTTACTTTGGAGGAACTTGATCATTAATGAATAGATGTAGTTTGAAGTATAAGGTAATAGTCAGGTTCAAGATGAAATAAAAAAATGGTACAGGCATGACTCTGGAGGCCATTTCTTCTTATTATTACTATTGTTTTTATTATAACTACTATAGCAGTAGTTCTATCAAATTTTACTTATTCTTCTTAAGAATTTCGGTCTATATTATCACTGAATTATTCTTAGTAATCTCCCTATGTGTGGGCTTCATGAATTGATTAATATTCTTTGTGAGGATAAAAATGTCCCATTACTGTTGATAATAGTTTTGTGACTGATCCTCCAACTGATGTTGAACTGATTTAAAAACTGAATTAAAAATTTTCAGGGAAAAACAATATTGCTAATGGCAGTTGGAAAATAGGAGTATGACATTTTTTTTAATCTAATTTTTACACAAATCAAATTTCCTTTCAAGATAACAGTATTACTAGTAATATATTTGTTCTCTTTATAATAATGTAACTTATTACCTTTCTGTTTATAGGATATATTGATGAAATTTCATTACATCCTATAATAATTATCTATCACATATGGTAATGGTCTGCTCTTTAAATAATTTCTGCAAGTCCTTAAAGACAAAGTAAAGATAGGTAATAGCTACTGATTGATCTGGGGAACTTCCTCAAAGGATACTTCTACACTAGTCAATCACAAATTAGATTATAACATGAAGAACCAGATCTTAAAGAAAATTTTCTTAGTAAACCCACACTAGAAAAATAAAATGAAATCAACAAGACCACTTAATATTGTTAACAGACCTTAAGAAGTGTTGCTTCCTCTCTCACATAACATGGACTAAAAAAACTAACCTGATGTGCTGTACTGTGTTGCTGCTCCCATCAACTATGGAGAAAGCTATACATGCTATGCCCTTTGCAGCTGACATTCTTGGTCGCACAAAGAGGAAGATGTTGGGTTCGCTCGACATTTCTTGGTCTGTTGCTGAAAAGTCCTACAGAGAAAAAGAGATAAACCACGTAAAAATGAACATAATGGCATAGCTGGAAGTGTTTTCATTTACAATAATTTCTATCAATATGTATATATTTTCTTTATCTTGGAAGTATGAATAAATTTTCACAGATACTCCATACAGCAACAGATGCAATTCAGTTAAAAAAAACAAAAAACAATTAACAGCTAATAAAAATATTTATAACCAATTCTATAACCTCTACACCAGACCTATAGGGACAAGAATATTACATATCAAGCAGCAGTCATACTAGTATATACCTGAAAGTGATGCTCTGGTCGATTATCTGCAAATTTGGGATGAATAAAGCTGCAGGACAACATATTCTGCCGCAGATAGTAACCAACGGCTTGCAGGTAAGGAAGAGCATTAGCACTGACAGTAAACCTGCCAATAAAGAAATAAAGTGATTACAAAATGGAAAATAACAGATTTAGCTTAGGATTTACATTAAACCTTAATCTACTTGCTATCAAAAAACTGTATTTGAGAAGAAAAACTAAATAGAGTGAGGAAAACTAATTTCTGATTATTATTCCTATGCCACATTCATTTTCTCTTACCGAGGCAAAGATACACTTGATAAGTTGTTGATGACTGGCTGAAGACTATATGATTGAATTACATTATTGTATTCCAAATGAAAATTATCATAAACCCAACAAAAATCAAATAATTAGTATTATCAATGTGTCAACACATTATCACTCATAATCTAATTGTCTTCTAGTGCACATATGCATTAAACAGCATAGATTTGATCTTTGTATGAATGAATCAAAATGTAATTAAACAGTAAAAAGAAACCACGCTGCCTTCTTTGAGAAAGCACAAACCACGACCACGAACTCCCATGGCAAAATAAAGACAGGAAACTACCTCAGCACGGTCTTCGGTGGCTGGTAGGGGGGCTGGATGAAATGGACATCTTCTGGTGTGAGTTTGTGCTGGGGGTTGCTCCACAGCATGATGCAGATGGCCTCAACCACGGCCTCGTCCAGGCGGTTCTGCAGCATCCGCACCAGTTCCTCTTTGATTGCAGGGCCTGGGGCAATTTGAATATAAATGATTTAAATTCAAATGTGATTAAAGATTTTGTAGAGGAAGAAGGAGTGAGAAAGAAGAAAAGGGGGGAAGAGAGGGGGGGGGGAGGAGGAGGAGGAGGAGGAGGAGGAGGAGGAGGGAAAAGATGAGGAAGAATAGCTCTTTGTACTTTTTCCGTTACAATTCCTTTTACATCTTTTCTAAATATGTTTCTGTTAGCACATCCTTTCAAACTTAGCAAGTAAATCCCAAAGACAGCTCATCTTTTGACACTCTAAATGTTATCCTTACAAGACAGAAACTTTAGAAATATGTAAGAAGAATCTACTCCATTATATATATAAACAGATAGATACATGACAAACAAACTTCTGCTTACCTGGCTCTGCAATGCCATGCACTGTCAGAACTATGTAGTGGTTGCGTTTGCGCTGTGCAGGAGTGGACGGGACGCCCTCCATTATCACATCTTTCTCTCCAAATGAGCTCACACGTGGACGCAGTTCCTGTGGAAGAACACTTATAGAAAACCAGACCTTCTAAAAAAAAGATGACATCAAATACTGAAAAAACTACATCCTAAATGCAATTGAATTCTGTACCCCTGAAATCCCTGCACTGAATTTTGCATCCCTAAAAGACTTGAAATTAATACTGTATCCTTGGAATTCCGAAAATTAGTATCCTTGATATCCTCGATGGCAAACCAAACCATCTGTGCAGGTTAGCAATCCTAAAATACCAAATCCTATACAACCCTGAAAATAGAATCCTATCAAACTGATTCAGTTATTAGTCACAAAGATGATTTCATAACCAAGAGAGGGAGCTTCTTACATAGGGCTGAGATGTGCCCACATTCTTGAGGCTTAATGAGTCATCCTCCCGGCTGCCTCGTTTACCCAGAGACACAGCGGATGAACTTCGGGACAAGCCACAGTCATCCCGCCGGCCATCCACTTGAGGAGAGACTGATACAGACTGCTGTTCATTCAGTCTGAAGTAGATTTTTTGATCAGCATAAAAGAGAGAGAGAGAGAGAGAGAGATGTAATTTGATTTTCAATAAGCCAATTAAATTGACTTTAAGTTATAATTATAACAGCAATTTATGAGATTTCAGTATCTTATCTTTTCACTACACTTTCTATTTTTTATTTATTTTTTTGTTGATAAACCTGTGCATCACTAAGTCATATCAAATTCCATATGCCTAAAAGCTAAACTTACATGAATGAAAAAGGGTAACTTCACAATATGAGTAATTGATACATTTTAATCAAATATTCATCAATTCAAATTATATGTAATTCTGATGGAAGTTTTTGTTAAATTATGTTAACTGTACCTCTTGCCTTTGCAAGTTGTTCAGACTCACCAATATATTTTCCTGTCTTACCTTAAATAGAAGACATTCGATCCATTCCCCGAGCTGTCCTCATAAACAAACATATTCTTGCGGTTGTTGACTGAGAACGGGTTGAGGATAGTCCGGAGGGCTTGAATACCCTTGCTGCAGACCTTCCCAGCGCCCAACTTCACTTTTGGATGCAGTTCAAAATGGGTTTCCCAAACAACTTGACAAGCAAATGCTCCTGCTTTAAACTTCAGAGCTGCTTCCAGATAGCCTCGAGTGTCAGGATCTCCGTCTGGAATGTTGGGTCAATCAACTTCTTCGGCAATGAAAGGTTACATTTTATGCAGTTAACTTCTCTGGCCATGAAATGTTGGGTACAGTCAATGTCTTTCGTAAAACTGATATCAAACTCGAGAAAACTTAAAAGTCATGTAATTTTTTCTACTTTTTTCTCTGTTAATTACCTCTTGAAAATCTGCGCATATCTATATAAAAACTTTCCACTAAAAGTAAGATCAAAACTTTATCTCACCATCTATCCCACGCCCCTTTGATTCTTCATGCCGCCAGATATCGTCACATGTTTCTGGTTCAAGGAGACGGTTACACATGCGTGTATTATGCAGATCTTGCAGCAACAATGTCTGGTTGACAATCTTAACAAGATTCCGAACACTTCGCACAACTTCTGCTTGAACACCACGCCAACGAGCCATCTCTGCCTCGGTCCTTAGAAAAAAATATGGTAAGGCTTGCACATCATCTACTGCAATATGTTAGACATTAATCTTGCAACCTTTATCTTTTGATAAATAGCCTCTTACTTCTACAATATCTTTAATGTTACACGAATCTCCCTATAAGCCATATATTTGTAGACAGCATTTGAGATGGAAACCTTATTCACCTGCAATGGAAAAACGTATCCACTCTGTCTTTGGAAACCCTCAAGATCAGCCAAAACTCCGGCAAGAAAGGCCTCACTGACTCAAAGTCCTGTAGCCAGTCACAGCAGTCATTGTCAGAGTCACTTATGTCTCCCTCGCACCCATCCTCCGTTGTCTGTCCAGACTCCAACAGACTTGACACGTCAGAATAATGACCTCCGGGAACAGAGCCGGTCCCTGAGTTGTGGCGGCTCTTCATAAGCTCACCTCCAGCTCCTGAGAAAGATCGGGATTTGATTTTTGAAAATTTGGGGGTGTAATATCTAATCATAAGGTACATACTATATTAAACAAATGCTAATAAATTTACAATACTAAATACATACGTACTGTTTTACAATTCTTAGAACTCGTGCTCCCACCATTATAAAAATTATTGTAGCTTGATTAATGCTTTCAGAAATATCTATCAAATAAATATACAAGTTACCTGAGCTGTGCCTGCTTTTCAGTAGATCTGCACTTGCCCCTGAATTATGCCGACTTTTCATAAGCTCTGCAGAATTGTGGCGACTTTTGAACAGCTCTGCCCACAAACCACAACTACTGAAAATTCCAAGAATAGTATTAAATGAAAGGAACAAAATATCAGGTCCAGGAAGTTGTCTCCTGTCTAAAGGGCAATGAGCCAGGCACCACTGAACCCCTTGCAATTCAAGGCTGACCCGTCTCCTTCCTGATTATCTATCTGAATGCAATAATTATTTTCACGGTTATATCTTGTCACTGTAGCAGTAACTGGAACAATTTATGGGAGAACTTTAAAAATCAAAGGTAAGTAAATAAAAATAGTAGAGAAATTCTTATATTTCACTGAAAAAAAAAAAGAATTTTATAGGGCTTTCTGGTACTGCATTTAGCTATACAAGTAAACTTATATCAAATTTAAAAAATCAGTCCTTTAAGGAACTGGATACACTGTTCTGTACTGATATAAATGTAGTAGAATAGGTAAGAACTCATAGAAGTTATATCTAATAATACTATTAGAGCACCTACAGTAGCATCTTATCATGAATGCATTCCATTAACACTAAAAGCACAAATTATTAAAAGTCATTGTATAATATTCCCACCTTCCACTGGTATTCATCACACTGTTTGATGATCCTCTCAGCTGTTCAACTGCAGCCTCTGTCACATTTGGGACAAAGTTATCTGTGCTTGCAGATTTTCGAATCACTTCTGCCGATGCCTGAGGCCGGGGAATGCTTTCGGAACCACACCTGCAGTTACCACAAGACAATGGTTCATTTGTGATGTAAACTTTGGGGAAAGAGCAGTTTTCTTCATTTCTCTTGGTTTATTTAACTTATTCTTTCAATCACTTACAACAAGGAAGGGCTCTTATAAAGATAATAATATGTAATAATAAATAAACAAAAAAAATATATATACATTTCCACTTCATGTTTTTGCTTTCGTTCACTTTAAACAAGGCTTTTTCTGTTTATAAACTCATCTGCTCTTTATAATGACTATATTATATTAATTGTCAATGCTTAAAAAGGTCCCTAATTTGTAAAAATAACATTTGCAATCTAAAATAAAACAAAAATGTGATTTATAAAGTATTAGAGCCTTGCTGCTATCATTGAACAGCAACAAAATTCAACAAAAACGTCCAATCACTCACCTAATAAGCTCATTGAGAGGCAAGGACAGTCGATGAGCTCCGTCCTTGAATGGCTTCTCAACGGCTGCAGATGTAGTGTCTTGAGAAACCATACTGCTGGACCTCCCTAATACTTCATGTGCCACTGCTTCTTCGCTTGCCGTCTTGGTTTCGCCGCATAATTCTGTACTTGATTGACCGCCACCTTCCGATTTGGACATTTCCTTGAGGGATTCGCTAACCTCCTCTTTGGGGGCCTCACCTTTCACTTCAATTAGGTCACTTATTACTATTGGCTTTCCTGTTTCCTCTGTGAGACCGGCTAAGTCTGAAATCTGAATGTCTTTTGGCATGCTCAGTGAACTAGCTGTTTGCTCTTCCAAAGGTGCATTCTCCATGCTATAAATGTTGATTTCCTCTCCTGTTTCCTTATCTTTCTGCTGTGGGAGCAAATATTCCGAATCTTCCGAAGGTAAAGCATCCTGCCGTTTTACCGTTCTGGTCTCTGTGATGGCTACAGCTGTGCTCTCTGGTTGCTTGACAGGGACCTCCTTATCTTTACTTATAACTTCTTCTAATTTGGATACAGATAAATCAGCAGGGAGGATAATACTCTTCTTTGGAGACTCATAGGAACGGACTCTCATATCAGATGGCTGATGTGAAGATTCTCGTGAAAAATTACCTCTCATGTGGTTATCATCTGGCAAATCAAAGTAAAGAACCAACCTTGGGTTAGGACTGCGTGATTCCAGGACATAAAGGAACAAGAATAACAATCTATAAAATCATAAACATTACCATTCAACTATTTTATATTCCTTATTACAAGATTCTCAAACTACTCACAAATCTATCCAAATCTTCAAAATCAGACAAAAAATTCTGTTCTCTAATTCTACTTCTTTAATTCTGTTCACCTTACTAATCAATAGTTGACATTTTCTTTTCTCCTTCTTCTTCTTCTTCTAAATGTATTACCTTTATCTCATTTTTTCACGTATAGGTAATTGGCCTATGAATCTATACCTGAGTCCGAGTCTGAAGAGTTAACAGATCCCCTTCTCTCCGAGTCCCTTCTCTCCTTCCTCTCTCTCCGCCGCACCCACTTCTCTTTCTCCGACCCATCTGCTCGTAAACTGCTTTCACCTTCCCCTGCAAATGCTGCCAAAATAAATTATAAAATTACGCAAACAACTCACTGACAGACACATAATAATTGATATATAGATATAAAGACAAAGATATACAGATACATATAGATAAAGAGATATGTAGATACATATAAACAGATTACAAATATATATATAGATATATATATATATATATATATATATATATATATATATATATATATAGATATAGATATAGATATAGATATAGATATAGATATAGATATAGATATAGATATATATATAGATATAGATAGACAGATAAACAAATTTTGAGACATTTGTATTGAATATGCTCTCTTTCTGTCCAAGATTTCTGGTGTGAAGGCTACCATGATAACTGAGTGACTACCTAATCAACATATCAACTGAGCAGTCTTTGCAACCAAGGCAATGAGTACATCCAGGAACCAAGGGAAACAAAAATAAAAGAAATTCTATTCTGGCTATCCTTCAATTCCCAACCATTCCTCTGCTTCAACAAGATAAGAATAATTAAAAACTTAAACCTGTAGGTAACAGCCAGAAAAGAGCCCCTTGTGAATGGAAGAAAAGACATCATATGTCTTGGACAAGAAGAAGAAGAAGAAGAAGAAGAATAAGAAGAAGGGAAAAAATCCAAAAAGGGGATGGGAGTGCAAAAAGAAAAGAAAGAAAAAAGGAAAGAAAAGAAAGAAAGAAGGAAAGGAAAAATAAATAATGAAAAAAAGAACCAACAGGGACCATAAAAATATAAACATAAAAACTAGATATGAAAAAGAAGAATGGTCTGGTGCACTGTCTGTTTTGCATAATCCTCATTCATCATTTGGGAGTCCCACTTTAGTATGTAAACTTAGCACAACAGCAATCTAAAATCTCAGACCTAGAAGACAGATATACAACACACACTAATTATTAACAGGAATTAGATCAACATTCATCAATATTTTCAAATAATTCCTTACATTCAGTATCAAATGAAACTTTTGCTGCCTGTATTTTGGTTGGAGGACTTTTGAGCACATCTGGCGATGATAGACTGACTTTATTCATCTGACATACATTCTCCATTTGCCTCAACTGAGCTGTGTCATCTGCATGGGGATGTGGTCTGTTGAAAAAAAAAGGCAGATTATATCATAAGAATTATAAGAAATATTTCTAAAAATGCATAATCAACTAATAATAACATCATTAATAGCAACAGTAGTCTATTATACTAATTCCAATACTATTTTACCTCCTCTCCATTTTTTTCTGATCCTCTGATTCCCGAAAATAAACATAAAAGATAAATTATCATTAGACCTACACCACAGTGCAAAAGGCGAAATACTGTTAGATTTACCTCACAATGAGAAACTGATTCTTGATGCCTAGAGGTGGCACCAAAGACGAGAAGTGCCGCCTTCTTATTTGCGTCTTGTCTTGAACCAAGTAATACAGATTTCCTTCCTGCTGTAGGTGGTGACCATTAACACTCAGTCTTCCAAATTCCTGAAATGCATCAAATTTCCCAGTCACATACATGAAAACACACATTTGTACTGTATGTATATTTCAGGATAAAATGGATATAGGAACTCTAAGGACTTTCCTTCTTGTAATGAATCTATCAATCATTTTGTTCACACATATATAAACCTCTTTGTACCTGCATAAACTTATCCTTGCTCTGCTCCATACCACACACAAAGTTCAAGGCAATTGATTCTGATATGCAGTTTCTAGGCTTCTGTGAGCTCTCAACATGTGCCGCCACCATGTCCAGCATCTGCTCTGTGAGTGGATAACTGTGCAACATAGATGATGCTATTTCATCACGGAGCAGCCATTTAATCTGCAAGAGCATATTTTTGTTAAGGAAGTGTCTCTAACCTAACTTCATGCAATATTAAGTACAGTCATATTTTTCTTATATCAACCCTGATGGATAAAATTGACAGGTAAAATTATTTTTACAGTCTTTCACTTTGCATACCACATAAACCTGAGTATAAAAATTGTTGAATACCAGCCTTATATCCCAAAAACTTAGAGGATATAATCTAATCAATCTGCACAATAACTATATCTACCATCTACATTTGCTAAACATTTCCATAGTCCTACCTCATCTACTGTTGTTACAATGGCCTGATACTGGCTGTTTGGCAGGTGTGCAAGTTGATCCTCATCTTCAATATACCTGAATAACGTCAGGAAAAAAGAGTACATTTCCAGATGATCCAATGTATATGACAAAATATTACAAACAAAGTATAACACACAACAATTTTCCAGGACAGGCATACTCCCCAGAGCCATTCTCACTACAAAAACCACACTTACGACTCATCTACATCCGTCATGGACGCGCAGGTGGATTCCGATATTGTCCTTCCTCTCCTTAGTTGTGGTGAAGCCGTTGAGCAGAAGCTGGTGGTGCGATTGGACCGCAGATCCAGTAACGATGCAACAGTTTCACTTGTGTCTGTGGTCGCTAGGGCAGGGGGAAGAGTCATACAGAGCACGTCCAGGGTCATGGTTACTGACGATAAATCCACTTCATTGCTACCCAGGCAGCGGACAACTTCATCTAAAGGGAAGCGAATGAGGCATTAGACATAATCATATAGCCTATCCAATGGGAAAAATAAAATACAGTCAGATGCATTCTATAAACATTTGTGCAATCAGCCTATGGTTGTAATGAAAGCAAATTAATCAAATGTAATTAAATGTAATATTTGTCTGGCCGGTTTCAAGTTTCAAAAACATCTGTAGGTTTTTAAAATATTCACCAGTATAGTCTTCAAGGAAAAGTATAATGAAAGTCACATTCACCTAAGCATGTTGGGAGACATTTAACCGAGATGGTAGACTGGACATGACCTGCCAGATACACTGTGCAGGTAAGGTGAAGGAAGAGAGGTGGTATTGGCCCATCGCCCAGATCCATGTGGTCTGGCACTGTGCTTAGGTCCTCATCTCGCTCGCTAATGACAGAGGTCTTATCTTCGTCACCCTCAAAAGCTGTCAACTGGCTGTGCAGACGGCGATAAACTAAAAAAATAAATAGTATCATTAAAACTTCAAATGAGGATTCCAAATGCAGCTCAAACAATTATATACACTTTCATACACACATAAATGATTACATACATATACACACACACAATACAAATAATAACAGCTTCAAAAATAATCTCCAACCCACCCTCATTTATACAAGCCCTAGGTTAAGTCCCACCACAAGCAAACCACAGCAGGTCAGGGAAACCTTCTGCGTCTGATTCCCTCCTTACTTACCGCTGCTTCCTACTTCTGATCTAAACTCTATGCTCTTGTCGTGATCTTCTTCCTCTTCCCCAACTTCATCATCGTCATCGTCGTCGTCTTCCTCTGCACCATTTACAGTTGTCTCGTCCTCCAGTTCCTCTTCGCCTTCGGTAAATACATCCGACTTCTGAAACCATGCAAATCATTTTCATGATCATAATACCTTGAATTTCTTTTCTGTATGATAATAATAGACAAGAAGCAAATGGATGGATTTCTCTCAAGTTTCTTGAAAATATTAAGATTTAATATTCATGAAATGCATAAATATGGATGTATATATATATAATAAATCCATGAACATATGAACAATATAGTGTTAAATCTAAAAAAAAATGGAAGATAGATACTGTTAAATTCTTTATAGCAAAAACATGAAAAGCAAACACCATATATTTTGATATTACAAAGCTTTATACACCAAGGGTCTATTAATTACAAAAGTAGGCAGCAAAGAAAAGAATTAAAAAAAAAAGAAGAAAATTAGTGTAGAAGAACAAAAATGCTGCATTTTGCAAGTTGTATAATGCATATTGCCTTTACTTACACAGCAAACCCTTCATACACCCTCATGCATCAATGAATTCATACAACCTATATGCACCAATAACTTCATAACATGGTCATCCCACCAAAGCACAGGTCATAATGAATGACATGCAAATGCCAATAAGGATGCGAATGTCAAGGAAAATTCATCACAGGATGTAGCAGATGAGAGATGCCGTAGCCTCGAAGTCACACTTTTTCCTATAGGCTCAAGAATCTTGTTTCAAAAAGAAAGACAAATATAATCTAAGAATTCTGAAGTATGAAAACAGAAATAGGTACATGACTACTGAGATACCTAGAGTGAAATCTTTCCATATTAAAGTTATACTAATAATAAAGAAAACAGTCATAAGTAACAAAGTAGAGGACAATAAACAGTATGCAGGGATATTAATATTTCGAAAAGGCTATGTTAGAATACACAGGCTGCTGCTTCTACATAAGATAACATGCATACTTGTCAATAAGTATATTGCGTACATTACCCTCAGATCATCGTTGTGAAAATTTAAAAACAAATATTTACGACCAAGTACAAGATATTTTAACTACTACCATTCAACCAAGAGAGATGAATTAACATATAAAAAAACTAAACATGCAAAGCATATATTCTTTTGAAAATTAATCTGAGGTTACTGCACAAATACTTATAATGGAGTACCTTGCTGACAGATACTCTTCGCAATTTTCGATGCTTCGTCAGGTCAAGCTGAGCCTGTAAGGTTGGGCACTTTATTACTCATAGCAAGAAGGGGTTCAGACACCATGCTTGAAGTATCGAGGAGTACATCTCTGAATGTACTATATGCCTGAGCATGGAATGCTGTTTGAGACAAGATATCAGCAACTTTGTGTACTTCGACATGTGTTTGTGGGGGTTAAGAGGTATTGTGTAGATGTGAGTGTGAGTGTTATTGTGAGTGTGGACCTAAGTGCGCACGTGCATGTAAGTATGCGTATGTATACATGTTTGTACATGTATGTGATTATCTATGTGTGCATTTTCATGCATATGTTTGCATTTCAATGTGAGTATTAGTCTATATGTGTGCATCTATATATGTGAATGTTATCACTGTGTTTTTTATGTGTATTTACCTAAGAATACATTTTTTGATAATCCATATCTTGCCATACCTAAGTTATTGAACTTGTCTATACTGAATTGAAAAGTGTCAGTATACACACTCATCACAATTTATGCAAGTAGGAAATATTTTCTGTGCTTACTGAAGTGTTCTTTCTATTTTCTAAGTATAAATGAAAAAGACAGGGTGTGCTAAAACTAAACTATATGAAAATAAAAACATGCATCTTCTATCCTTTTCTATTATTGTTATTATTATATATATTGCTATTAATCTGTTTAGTTTATGAAAAAATATCCACAGTGTATATCATTTTAACCCATTCACTATCACAAGAAATCAATCTGACTGAAAAAAAAAAAACTGTCACAAAACTATCCTCCATGTCCAAAATAAAATACAAAAGGGACACAAAACAGAGAAAGGCTTTGCAGTACCTCCTGCAAATGATATCCATATAGTCATCCCACAGTAGGTAAAATTCATAAACTCCATAGTCTAAGTGCTTTCACATCTGAGAGTAAAAGGGGGGAAATATTCTAAATGAGTGAGAAAGTGAGAAAGATTGCTGTCCAATTCCTATACCCAATCTGTTGTACAAATATAACTGAACTGACTTTAGTATGTCTGTGCTGAAAAAGACAGTGAGAGTGAAATATACATATTAATAAATGAGGAAAGACAGGGACCAGGATGGGGATGGAGATGGGGATGAGAAATGAGAAAGGGGAAGGGGATGAGAAAGGAAAAAGGGAAGGAGAGGGAGGGAGTAGAAGGAGGGAGAAGAAGAAGGGGTTGAGGATGGGCAAGAGAAAGAGGAAGAGAAACAGGAACAGGAAGAGGATGAGGAAGAGGAAGAGGAAGAAGAAGAAGGAGGAGGAGGGAATGAGAGGAGGACAAGGGGAAGGGGGAATGAGAGGAGGACAAGGGGAGGGGGAGAATGAGAGGAGAAGAGAGAAGAGGAGCAAAAGAAAAGGAACTTCTAAGGAAAGAAGAAGAGGAACGGGGGTAGAGATTAAGGACTTACCAAACGACCTTGACAGGACGGCTTCAAATTCTCCATGCCCTTGTTTAACTATATATTCATGAGTAAGTTGTTGATATAGACAAAGAAAAGGTTTGAATCTCTTATATTTCTAATGTGGATAATGTGGACATGTCTTTGGAGGGCGACTGCTGTGTTTCAATGAATACACCACATAACTGAGAATAAAAATTGTCAGATTTCACCATCCACTTAGAGAATTTAACTTGCTAGACCCACAATTCTTCCTCTGGGCTTCCTTCCTTGGTAATGGATCCTACACATGGTCTAAAACTGATCCTGATTTTTTTGTCATAACAAGACAGACACAACAAACAAACAAACAAACAAACATTATTCCTGATAATAAATGCAAATTCTTACTTTTTTCATATGGTTCCTAGTTAGTCAACTATTACTCATATCACTTTCAGCAAATTACATTTCCAGACAAAATGTTACTTTACAATTAAATGCTGCAAATGCAATACAGGTCCTACTATACAAGACAACCTTCCACAACACAAGTGAGCGTCACTCCTCCACGACAAAAAAAAAAAAAAAAAAAAAAAAAAAAAAAAAAAAAAAAAAAAAAATAAATAAATACAGATTATATAAAGGCATTACTAGATACTCTTTGATGATAATACATGTGACAAATGGATATCTAAACATCTAAAAATTCATAAACAGTCTGATGTCTTCAAATACAATTTTGTCAGCACTCTTATGTGACTATCCTCCTCATAAAAATCTTCACTAACGATTCAGAAAACGTCTAACCCCAAACTTTCCTGTCCTTATATGGGGGGGGGAAAAAAAAAAAAAAAAAAAAAAAATAAATAAAATAATAAAATAAAATAAATACAGATTATATAAAGGCATTACTAGATACTCTTTGATGATAATACATGTGACAAATGGATATCTAAACATCTAAAAATTCATAAACAGTCTGATGTCTTCAAATACAATTTTGTCAGCACTCTTATGTGACTATCCTCCTCATAAAAATCTTCACTAACGATTCAGAAAACGTCTAACCCCAAACTTTCCTGTCCTTATATGGGGGAAAAAAAAAAAAATTATCTGAAGCCTACATGACTTTCATTCTTCACATCACTTTTAGCAACAGAAAATACCGACTAACGGTTAAACACAAAACTCAATATGTATTGTTAGAACAGCTCAAATGAATCTCATATCATGTATAGATGAGCACATACAAACACTTCTACATTTATATGTGAGTAAAGCTCTCAGGTCCTGTAATTTAAAACTATAGAATCATTAGTAGTCCCACATGCAAAGCTATAATAGGAAATCCCCTTCTAACTATCTTTTTAAACTTTACTTTTTGTTCGCTTCTTAAAGTGAAACATGAAACTTTCTTCTGGAGCAAAACTAGTAAAATCAATAATGAAACACAGAAACATTATTCCTGATAATAAATGCAAATTCTTACTTTTTTCATATGGTTCCTAGTTAGTCAACTATTGCTCATATCACTTTCAGCAAATTACATTTCCAGACAAAATGTTACTTTACAATTAAATGCTGCAAATGCAATACAGGTCCTACTATACAAGACAACCTTCCACAACACAAGTGAGCGTCACTCCTCCACGACAAAAAAAAAAAAAAATAAATAAATACAGATTATATAAAGGCATTACTAGATACTCTTTGATGATAATACATGTGACAAATGGATATCTAAGCATCTAAAAATTCATAAACAGTCTGATGTCTTCAAATACAATTTTGTCAGCACTCTTATGTGACTATCCTCCTCATAAAAATCTTCACTAACGATTCAGAAAACGTCTAACCCCAAACTTTCCTGTCCTTATATGGGGGGGGAAAAAAAAAAAAAATAAATAAATACAGATTATATAAAGGCATTACTAGATACTCTTTGATGATAATACATGTGACAAATGGATATCTAAGCATCTAAAAATTCATAAACAGTCTGATGTCTTCAAATACAATTTTGTCAGCACTCTTATGTGACTATCCTCCTCATAAAAATCTTCACTAACGATTCAGAAAACGTCTAACCCCAAACTTTCCTGTCCTTATATGGGGGGGGGAAAAAAAAAAAAAAAAAAAAAAAAAAAAAAAAAATAAATAAATACAGATTATATAAAGGCATTACTAGATACTCTTTGATGATAATACATGTGACAAATGGATATCTAAGCATCTAAAAATTCATAAACAGTCTGATGTCTTCAAATACAATTTTGTCAGCACTCTTATGTGACTATCCTCCTCATAAAAATCTTCACTAACGATTCAGAAAACGTCTAACCCCAAACTTTCCTGTCCTTATATGGGGGGGGGAAAAAAAAATTATCTGAAGCCTACATGACTTTCATTCTTCACATCACTTTTAGCAACAGAAAATACCGACTAACGGTTAAACACAAACTCAATATGTATTGTTAGAACAGCTCAAATGAATCTCATATCATGTATAGATGAGCACATACAAACACTTCTACATTTATATGTGAGTAAAGCTCTCAGGTCCTGTAATTTAAAACTATAGAATCATTAGTAGTCCCACATGCAAAGCTATAATAGGAAATCCCCTTCTAACTATTTTTTTAAACTTTACTTTTTGTTCGCTTCTTAAAGTGAAACATGAAACTTTCTTCTGGAGTAAAACTAGTAAAATCAATAATGAAACACAGAAACATTATTCCTGATAATAAATGCAAATTCTTACTTTTTTTCATATAGTTCCTAGTTAGTCAACTATTGCTCATATCACTTTCAGCAAATTACATTTCCAGACAAAATGTTACTTTACAATTAAATGCTGCAAATGCAATACAGGTCCTACTATACAAGACACACACACACACACACACACCACACACACACACACACACCACACACACACACACCACACACACACACACACACCACACACACACACACACACACACACACACACACACACACACACACACACACACACACACACACACCACACACACACACACCACACACACACACACCACACACACACACACCACACACACACACACACACCACACACACACACACACCACACACACACACACACACACACCACACACACACACACACACACCACACACACACACACACACCACACACACACACACACACACACACCACACACACACACACACACACACACACACACCACACACACACACACACCACACACACACACACCACACACACACACACACACACACACACACACACCACACACACACACACACCACACACACACACACCACACACACACACACACACACACACACACACACACACACCACACACACACACACCACACACACACACACCACACACACACACACACACACACCACACACACACACACACCACACACACACACACACACACACACACACCACACACACACACACCACACACACACACACCACACACACACACACCACACACACACACACACCACACACACACACACACACACACACACACACACACACACACACACCACACACACACACACACACCACACACACACACACCACACACACACACACACACACACACACCACACACACACACACCACACACACACACACACACACACCACACACACACACACACACACCACACACACACACACACACACCACACACACACACACCACACACACACACACCACACACACACACACACCACACACACACACACCACACACACACACACCACACACACACACACACACCACACACACACACACCACACACACACACACCACACACACACACACACACACACACACACACACACACCACACACACACACACACACACCACACACACACACACACCACACACACACACACACACACACCACACACACACACACCACACACACACACACACACACACACACACACCACACACACACACACCACACACACACACACACACCACACACACACACACCACACACACACACACACACACACACACACACACACACCACACACACACACACACACACACCACACACACACACACACACACCACACACACACACACCACACACACACACACCACACACACACACACACACACACACACACACACACACCACACACACACACACACCACACACACACACACACACCACACACACACACACCACACACACACACACACACACACCACACACACACACACACCACACACACACACACACACACACACACCACACACACACACACACCACACACACACACACCACACACACACACACACACACACACCACACACACACACACCACACACACACACACACACACACACACACACCACACACACACACACCACACACACACACACACCACACACACACACACACCACACACACACACACACACCACACACACACACACACACACACACACACACACACACACACACCACACACACACACACACCACACACACACACACCACACACACACACACACACACACACACACCACACACACACACACCACACACACACACACACCACACACACACACACACACACACACACACACACACACCACACACACACACACACACCACACACACACACACACACCACACACACACACACACACCACACACACACACACCACACACACACACACACACCACACACACACACACACCACACACACACACACCACACACACACACACACACCACACACACACACACACACACACACCACACACACACACACACACACCACACACACACACACCACACACACACACACACCACACACACACACACACACACCACACACACACACACACACACACCACACACACACACACCACACACACACACACACCACACACACACACACACACACACACACACACACCACACACACACACACACACACCACACACACACACACACACACCACACACACACACACCACACACACACACACACACACACACACCACAACACAAGTGAGCGTCACTCCTCCACGACAAAAAAAAAAAAAAAGAATATAAAACTTCTCTCAAAATATGCAATAGTAGCTTAGGAACAACATGCGGTGTTGAAGGAAAGCTTCTACGGACTTTTCTGGCCCTCCTTTGGGATAGGTTACACAAAATTACACACAAGGATTCACTTCTAACCTGGTCCCAGTGTTCAAGGTCCTGGCCAGAGACATAGATGAACTCTCCAACTGGTGTTCCCTGTACCACCAGTCAGAAGTGAAAAAGAGTTTACACATATGTCTCCCAAGAAAATGTTATTCTTACTCATAACAGAATGTCCAATTTGGTGAGTACACATTTTGTTACTTGGGGATATAAATAGGACTTCATATTACCTTCTCTTTAAGACCATGATCATGAAGTATTCCTTAAAGCATTATGTATCACAATTGTAAAAAAAAAAAATAATAATAATTATGATAAAATGAAACATATTGAGCACCTAAAAAAATGGACATGAAAATGAACATGATTCACAAACAATCAGCAACAACTATAATTTGTAATAATAATAATAATAATAATAATAATAATAATTATAATAATAATAACAAAAACCCTCTCATGCATGCCAAGTTTCAATTCTTTTTTTTTTTGTGTGTGGTTTATTTCCCTTCTCACTATCCAGGTTATCATCAAGCAAAACTGGCTATTGGGGGCTACTAACATGCACACGAGTCATGAGAAACTGCTGACCTACTGAATAACTTGAAACAGCATTGGGTCTTCTATCAACAATTAAATTATTTTACATTTTGAACCACAATTAATGTACGATGAATCATGTATATGAGCACCATATATCAGAACCCTAATAAATAACACAAATAATTATATTGCATGAGTAAGAGGGTTAATAATAGTAATAATGGTAATAATAGTAATAGTAGTAGTAGTAATAATAATAATAATAATAATGATAATAAAGAATAACAATATTAATAATAATAATACCACATGAAAAATAATAATACAATAATAACAATTATAATGAAGATAATACCAATACATTTGAAGTATATAATAAGTAATGCTTCACACATATTAGTTATAAATAATTTTTTTCTGTCTCTCCAGTCTGGTGTCAGGATGGTGTGGCAACTGTGCTAAAAGCATTTAAACAGACATAAAGTACTGCAAGTAGACATGATAACACACAGAGAATAATAACTAACATATTTATGAATGATGACTTGCCAAATCAATAGGGCAAATTAACTGACCAACTGGATGAGGAGAGGGAGGGGAGAAAATAAATATGCTGAATGCTAGAAAAATAGATGGATGAGAAATTCTGATGAAGATTGAATCAAAATGTGTGAAGTTATTCATTCTTATATACAGCTTTTTCTAAATCTAGGTTCTAACAGTTTTACTACATTTTGTAAATGTATTTATTCTTTACAATACTGTCATCATTAGTATGAATATTACAATAATCCTTAGTTAAAGATTCCTTGATTCCTTAAGTTTCCTTTTGATTACCTTCATATAACCATGATATTCAAGAACAAATAAATAAATAAAATCCAATATTAACATTTTTTGTGAAAAATAAATTACATTTATATATTCCCTGATTTCAAAGCACCTTCACATGAAATGAATGACGTGATCACATAAATATTTTACTAAACTTCTGCTTAATTGTTTGTGGCTTTCCAGTGCAAATCTAATAATCTACTGAAACATATGTAAAAGCCTCATTCTTGCATTAGGTGTGTCTTTACTCCAAAATTTTCTTACCACACCAAAATATCCCTATTATTGCCAACAGTCTATATCAATATTCTTTGCAATATGAGAAGTTGAATTCTTTTACAATTGCTACCACTGTCATATCTAATCCATCACTAGCACCATTCATGCTATAGAGGTACTTCATGAATCATATACTAGTTCAACAATCTATTCCCTAAAAAATATATATATACATATATAATCGGTCCTTATATTATGGCTAAGTAATAATCGCTGTATTTGAAATCTGCTTCTAATTTCACATACCTCACTTGAGTGATGAAGAGTGCGAGGAGAGAAATAATAATACTCTGGGAGTGACGGAACTGGCCGGAAGGAACCCTGAAGAATGGTTGTGAATCTCTCCTTGATGCTCGTATGGAGTTGCTGCAAGTCACGGCACGGAAGGTGGAGCTTTAAGAGGGAGAGCGGGAATTTATTGCTGCGACTGCTGCCACTGCTCATTTTCGTACTCGATGGCATAGGTGAAAAGGGTGGGTCTTGGCTGTTCTTCTTCATGTCCTGAAAGAGTTTGGTTCCTTTATTGATGTTATTCTAAAAGAACTCATAAATACTATTCATGTAATATGCAGCATTAGTTGGTCTTAGTCCTAGATGTAAATTCTTCCACCGTTTACCTTCACATTACTAGACTGATTTGCATCATCTGCTTCTGGTACTAAAACTGATTCAGGTCGACACTGATGCATCTGCTCCAAATTCATGCGCAGACGGAAGTCTCGAAGATGCCCACATATTGTCTGTCAATTACCATATATGATTCTTCATAAACAGTTTGGGGGATAAAAAAAAAAGAAAGAAAGAAGGAGAAAAAGAAAGAAGACTTAGTATAACATACACTTGCCTGCCTGGTCAGAATCATGAGAGCGGTTAGATTCAATAAAAATAATTTGCAGTAAAGTGGAACATTTTGACAACATACCCTAAACCGTTCATAGAAGGCAATTCATACATTTCTATATATTTATCTATCTTCATCTATATTCATTAATCTATCTATATCTAAATCTACACTATCTATCTATAAGTCAAAGCTCCTAGCCATTCTGCAATCAAGGAAAAACTTACTTGAAGGAAGTGAGTTATTTCAATTTCCATGACTGATTCATGACAGTGATCGAGAGCAGCCTGCACGTCATGTGAATGGACAATAAGGTCTTTCTGAAGCGCTTGGAAAACACCAAGAACAAAACTTCGAAGGTGACATACTTCTATTGCCTCCATGTGGGCACGCAGACAACTCGAATCAGCTAAAAGTATGAAACCAAACCGTTAGTTACACCACAGAAAAAAATAAATAAATAAATAAAAAAACAGTAGTTACAAAAACCGTCATATAAAGTGATCCAGTACGCCACTACAACCACCAGCGATACCACTACCTCCGACATCGGACTCCTCGGATCGTGGTTCTGGACTTGGCTGCTTAAGGTCCTCCTGGATGTTGAGAGAAGCAGGCAGGGGTTCGTCCTTAAGAGGCACAGTGTCCTCCACCACATCCGATTCCAATTTAAATGTGGAATCAACATAGATGTCCTTGCCAACCACATTGCAGCGCTCCTCTCTGGGCCCATTATGAAGTGCAGATCAGAAGACATACAAGTTTTAATACATATACAAGTGAATATATTGATAAACAAATATATTCATGTCAGAGACATAAATATGTAAGTAAATAATAAATAAAACATTTGAAGACATATACAATGAAAAAAAAGAAAAGTTAATAGGAAAAAAGAAAAGATCCACAAATCATTTATATAGCCATCACTTACAATTTTCCATACAGAGTGAAAAAAGATACAAAGGTCAAAAATTGGAGTTCTTCGATAAATAAATCTTGATAAAGGAACCTGAATACATATTCTAAAACTATTTTTTTACAGGAACTGTGGTAGAAATAAAACAATAGCTTTTACATAGTTGGCATTCAATAATAAAAATGCAACATTCTATTTTCCTTTTTACTGGAATCTATGACTCTTAAGCACTGTGAACTTCAAAGTATATCAACAATGTTAATTAAACGATTATCAATTTGACAGTTTGTGCATGAAAGGCAACCTCTATTCAATTATGTCACTTCCTCAAGGTAAAATTTCACTCAATTCTGGCAATTCCTTTTAGATATTAATACATACATGTAATGTTTATATATACACATATATACTTAAACTCAGTCATCATAATATATTTCAAGCCTTTGAACTGACAGTAAATACATTCACTTCCATCTAATCACTTATAACAAAAAAAAAATTTATCACAAGTTTAGTAATATTCAATTCTGTTAATTTCACAAAGAAAGAGAGAAAGAAGTATAAACAAAATGCAAATGAAACTCTGCCTAAAGAAGAAATTGGTGAAGGATAATCAAACAAGGAAAAACAGGAATGCATACCTATTAACGAGCTGCGTGGTAATACTACTCAACTTGCAGTCGTAGATGTAGATAGGAAGCATAACGGCACCAAACAGTGGCTTGTGACAAGGTGACGGTGGCACGGCACTCATGCTCTCATCAGCACTAGGGACTCTGCAGATACCTTCACATTCATTTACAGTCCCTTGGCCTCGGAGATGTAGAGGAAGGCAACTATCATCGCTTCTTATGGCCTCCGTTGACATGCTCTTGCTCGATGTATCAAAGACACCCGAGTGCGACTTTGATGGCATGGAAATGTATCTCTTCCTAGCATGGTCTGTGGGTGAAGCCACTGGGGGAGGATCACACTGTGGCTCTTTAGTGGGTGAGTCGATGGATCCAGTTCTGTTCCTCTCGGCTATCGACTCACTCTGACCGAAGGAGCTACACCGATCCCTGCTTACGTGGAATGAACTGGCCCGTTCACGTATGGAGTCGGAGATGATTTGCTGCACTGGCTGGGAGTGCGTGGGAGGAACTGGTCCTGAACGGTACCTGACCCTTGGGGTGATGTTGTCTCCACTCTCCATAAACATGGTTGATGACCGACTGCTTGTAGGGGTTGGAGGCGGAAGGCTTGGGGATGTAAGATGTGTCAAGGAGGAGTTGCTGCTCTCTAGGGACACCTGCTGTTCTGACGTCACTCCCCCCTGTGGCTGATCAGTAGTGTTTGTCTCTGTGTCCAAGTCCAAAACGTTCTCTGTGCCAGGTATGAGTCTAATAGCTTTATTTGTGGCATCAGAAATATT